AAAAAATTGAAACTGTGATTGTAAATAATTTTTTAAATATTTTTTATTTAATTTATTTGAAAAGGAGGATAAATTCGCCACTTTACAAGGTTCACTGAGAAAATGGATGAATAGATTGTATTTCGCGAGGTTTCATTGATTTGGAGGTTATTGTGTCAAAATGAAAAGTTACGAGGATATTTGGGAAAATCTGTTAAAATTAGGAGTATGTCACAAATTTCCCAGTGCCAGCGCCTGAAAAATTTACACACTACTCACATTTATCAAGATAATTTTATTTTATTTTAGTAATAGGCTATTTGTCTATGGGTAATGTCTTACGAAGCTGAGGAGACAGCACTGGCTTCAGCTTCAACTCCTGAATATTCCGCTCTAGCCAAGCCAAGACAGCAGCTCAGCCAAGATGAAGTCATACCCGTTTAAGCTGTCAAAGGAATCAGTTTGGTAGTTAGTTAGTTAGTTAGAATTGGTTAGAATAAAAACAGTTAGTTAGTTAAAACTGTTGAGAATGATGCCTATAAATGTAATCTCTTTTCAGTCGTTTTCTCAATGAATAATAAAGGAAGAATTCATCTCTTTCTTCTTCATAATTTCTTCTATCAATTCCGAAATTCAACATAATGCTCTTTGTACCTTTGGATTTACACTCTCATTTACACGCTGACGTAGATAGTAAGCTTGAAATAAATAATAATAATAAAATCAACATAAGACAATCCAGCTTTTGCATCTAACAAGTGGGTTTTGTTCAAACCAAATCCAATCCAGCAAAATATCGGGTATACCAAAAAATTGAAACTAGACTCATTTTCGGTGGCTGCCCAAAACAAAGGTGAGATCCCTCTACCTCCCACCGATCCCATATTGGTTCGCCAGTTGGGTTCCATATTCTATTGATAACCAAGAAGCAAACATTGATTTGAAGAGATGACAAAGGAATGTAATTCCCACACACATTTTATTGTGAAAATGGTTTAGAAAATGGGGGTGACGAACAACTTGCAAGCTAGAAATCTATAAACACATTGTAAATATGCTTAAAATCTGTAAACCCATTCTGAATCTATGGGTTAATAGAAAATTGGTGGGGTTTTGTTGGAGATCTATTGGCCATGTGTTATGTGGGGGAGGTGGTTTAGTTGAGCTATATAAATAAGTGATCGAATTATCTAGTAACAGTTTTGTAGAATGAGTGATTATCTTGTATCAATTAAAAATTAGTTATATGAATTAGTTTTAACATTCTTGTATGAATTAGAAATTAGCTACGTGAATTAGTTTTTACATTATTCAATTGTTTGTTTATTGCAGCGAATGGAATTCGGGAAGAGCTGGATGAAGATATTTGTTAAAATCAAGCCATGAGAACATTTTGGATAGTGTGAACTTATTGGATAGTGGAATTGTAGGAGAAGATGGTGCAATCGTGCTTGAGGTGGGTATGAGGTTCAATGACGAAAAAAAATGTTCGATTTTTACCAAAGATGTGCGTATGACGTAGACTTTCCAGTTAGGAAAAGAAACTCACAAAAGGATGATGATGGAGTTGTCATATGTGTTGTGTTCACTTGTAGTCGTGAAGGATGGAGAAGAAGTAATACCAGCGGTTCTTTGAAGCCACAAGCTACCATTCATACAAGTTACAAAGCCAAACTTATTGCTTTTGCATATGCATGTGAAATATGGAGAATTAACACAGTTAATCTCATTCATAATCATAAAACAAGTCCTTCGAAGTCAAGGTTGTACCGTTGCAACCGAGAATTAAGTGCCCATGTTAAGCGACGTCTTGAAGTGAATGATATGGCAGTGATTTCGTTGTACAAAAGTTACAACTCTACAGTCGTAGAAGCAGGTGTGTATGAGAATATGACTTACGTGAAAAATGATTGAATCCACTTCAAAAGCGAGAGATGGAAAACATGACCTAGCTTTCACCAGTGCCTTCGGACCCCTCCTGTGAACAAGTGAAGCGATTAAAACTTGGAGAAGGAGATGCAACGACAATATAGGCCTACTTTTTGAACATGCAAGCAAGGTGCTTGGGTTTTTACTTCAATGTGGATTTAGACGAAGAATCGTGGTTGAGGAATATTTTTTGGGCTGATAATAGGAGTATGCAAGCATATAAGGAGTTTGGCGATATTGTAACATTTGATACCACGTACCTAACTAATAAGTATGACATGCTGTTTGCACCTTTTGTTGGAGTTAATCATCATGGACGGTTAGAACTACTTGGTTGTGGTTTGGTGTTGAACAAATGCTTGATTTTAATGCGATGGCACACAAAATTGTTTAAATTTCAAGATTTACTTCTTTTTATGCATGTAGGGATCAATGTTTCACGCAATTTTCACATTTTAAAAGAGGAAGACAGTAAAATCACTTAACATTTCTCTTCAATTTAACTTAAAGTCACGTGCGATTTTAATATTCACGTTAAACGATCCTGTCAAACATGGATTGAAATTCACATTTTTAAAAAGACCGAGGATCCAGAACATCACTTTTCGAGGTTATGGACTTAGAACCATGTCACGTGAAAGGTGGGGAGTATATCACTAATTTTTCCAATTTCATTCATATTTAAGTTTCATAATTCATTTTAATGTTTTTATTCACTAAAATGAAATACTATTTAACTCCAGAAAAAAATTAATTCTAATTTTTTGATTCACAAAAATTAAATTAAATACTATTTATAAAATTCGTACTAGAAGGACACATCTTACTAAAGTTAATTTTGTTATTATATTATTCATAAATAGAAATGTTCATTAATATTTGTTACTCGAATGACCAATAATTAGTGATGGTAAAAATACTTGCCCCGCCCCGAATGGGGTGAAAAAAACCCACCCCGACGGGTTGGCAGGGCGGGGCGGGATGGGGGTACCCCGCTCCTCCCCGCCCCGTGAAAAATAAAAAAANAATTAACTACAAATTAAAAATAAAAAAAATAGTTAATTGGAAGTTTTTGAAAAAAATAAATAAATAAACGACGCAAGCCTGCGCCCCGAATCCGCCCTGCGCCGTTTAATGTGGGGCGGGGCATGGGGCAGAACGAGGTGGGGGAGTGGTTGGGCGGGGTGGGGCAAGAGTGCCCCGCCTCGAACCCGCCCCATTGCCATCTCTGCCAATAATTCAATTTTTGGGCCCATTAATTTAAAAGTCAGTTCCATTAGCTGGAAATTAACACATACCATTAAAGAAAAATTGATATTTTTGGAAATAGCATTAGTTCCAAACGTGTAGAGTGCTTTAACTCCTTTCCTATAGGGATGTCAACAGGGTGGGTATGGGACGAGTCGACCATTCTTACCTCCACCTCTTTGGGTATTTTCGTTATCTTACCTCATCTCCAAATCCAATTAAAGCGGGACGAAACGGGCTTGGAGCGGGATCAAGGTGGGGTATCACCCCATGTATTTTTTCTTTTTATTATTTATTTATTTAGTTAGTAGATATTATTATTTTTTTACTAATTTGTTAAAAACTTACGTTATCTTTAAAAATTTAATAAATCTATTATTTTTATTTGATAAAAAACTTAAATTTGAAATCAATTTCAAACGAGACGAGTAGCTAGGCGAGGACTATACTTCTCGTACCCGTCCCCATCCCATTTATCAGGTTAGGAGGGTAATTCCCTCCCTATTCAAGACAAGGTCTCACGAGTATCGGGTTGAATAAATTTTTTTGTCATCCCTACTTTCCTACAGTAAGTTACTTCCTTTTTCGTCGAGACATTTCACACACATTTTCTTTCCATGGCATTTCTTGAATTTTGTACGTGCCAAGTCACATATACAAGGAACTTCTTGTAAAGGATATGGTTGATCTTGAAGTTAGGGCAATAACAATGACAGAATTTGAGTGTTGATGTAGTAAACAACTCCCTTCATAGTTGATTTATTAGAATCGTTACTTTCTTTTTGGCATCGTTTTTTGTCTCTTAAGCCTCTCTGCCATGGAATTTCCTTATGACCTTACATATGGAAAGGAATTTGAACCCCGATTTTCTATAAATACTTAAGTTTTCAAGACGACTCTTTTGATCATTCAGACATTCATCACTTTCACTATGTGCCTACCCTATGTGTCCATGTGCTAGCGGATAGGTTTTATTTATGTAATTTGTGCTTGCTAAATACTTTAGTTTTCAAGACAACTCTTTCGATCATTCAGACATTCATCACTTTCACT